GCTGAACAATTCTGATCCAACTCCCTTCTCCAGTTGTAGTTCCAAAGCCGTAATCCATCTGACTCAATACGTTTATAACACTCGTGAACAGAGCTTAACGTTCTCCCAATCGGGTACATTCTTCAATCAACAGCATTATCACAACACTCTGATAGCTGCGAGTGATTCCACCTGGGGAACAGATCCAATTACACGTCGTTCTCAAGGAGGGATTGTGATTTCTTTTAACGGAGGTCCAGTTAACTTCTCCAGCAAATTGCAGAAGGTCGTCAGCTTATCGAGTACGGAAGCCGAGCTGTACAGTTGCTCCAACTGTGCGAAGGCGATACGGACGCTGCGATCCATCCTGCTTGAACTGGGGTTTGTACAGCGTGACCCAACAATCATTCTCGTTGATAATGCAGCGGTCATCCATCTGCTGAGGGACCGTCGCGCATTTTCGAAGCTTAAGCATATTGCAATTCGACATCGGTTCACTCTTCAGATGGTGGATGAAAACGAAATCATCGCTGTGAAGATTGCTACTACATACAACCCTGCGGACATTCTCACCAAGATCTGCCCAGTCTCCAAAATTCGTCAGCTAGCATCGTTCTTGTTCGGCAACGACATGTCTCAGGTCTCCGTTTGACCATCATTACGCCGCCGCTGCTTCATGCAAGACCTTGTCAAGCTAGCCAAGCTCCCTGTACCTCGTCAGGGAGGGAGATGGATGATGCGAAGTCACAGGGGACCTACTTCAGCCTGAGGTCATCTGTTCGACACCAGAGACAGTCAGGGAGGGTTCACTAAATGAACAATCAAAATCAGGGAATATCATATCTTTTCACTATCATACCTGAATACTGAACTTCATGACAGGCTGAACCTCTGAGAACATCTGATGATGACATCAGCATCGAGCCTCGCATCATTCCTATGTCAAGTGACATGGACGAGTCACAGGGATCCCCCAAGCAGAGCCAGGAGTCGCACAAGATGACGACGAGGCCACCAGATAGCTCTCCCACCATGATGATGAGTGTGGCAAAGAAGCTGAGGGGTGACATGACAGCGAGAAAATCTCGATGATGGAGGGATCAGTCCTGATCAAAGTCGCTCTGAATGTCAAAAGTGACAAGAGCTGTTTTCAATCCAACCTCAAAGCCTGTACGTGGCCAACAGTGAGGAGAGGAATTACCTCATGATTCCACTGGTCAAGCGCCGTGATGTTGATACGGCAAGCAGAGCACGGCAGATGAAAGCTTGAAGGTTGTGAAGACCGAGGAAGGGAGACGTCCCAAAGCCTCATTGCATGCCACGATCTCACGATGGCGATATGATGACACGAACCAACTCTACAGCAGAGTTGAAGAAATGAAAGGCAGCTTGAAGCGCCAAGCCTTCGCAAGACGAAGAAGCAGACGATGAAGACATACCTTCGATCGAAGTTATGAAATGATGCTGCAGAAATGAAGGAGGTCCCAAGTCGCCAGGCACATCAGTGCTGATGGGCGCTGAGGAGAACCTTTCAGTACCATGCACAGCCCTACTGCGAAAGTCAAGTCAAGAGGCTGATCGCTTATGGAAAGAGGAATATCAAGTCTGATGAGCAAGACCATACAGCTCAGTTCAAGGCAGACGACCAGAGACCAAGCATGAGTCCACCTTGCTGTCAAGCAACAGCTCCCGCCTACTCTAGGCAAGGGAGGGAATACTGCGGCGACGACGCGCGAAGAGTCAACCGCAGCAGGTCATTTGAAAGGCATAGTCAAATTTGACAAGCCTGACACCGTCAATGGAGGCGCGGCAAAGTAACAATGCTGGCATCGGCACACAAGAGCCAAGGGAGGGTGTTGAAGCACCTGATAGGAGGAAGCTTCACCTCAGACAATGCCAAGTAATCGACGTGGCTCAAGTGCACAGATGCTTAGAGCCTCGGAATGCATCCCTGGAGAGGACAGCAACAGCTACAATAAGGACGACGTAGGAGAATCATGAAGAAGACAGCAAGAACCTAGGACTCGTGGATGGCAGCAGGAGATAAGCGAGTCAGCTTATACCAATCCACGACAGGACAGCAGATGACACGGTGGTAGGATATGGCTACGCTCAAGGGGAGATTGGAAGCATCACCCCTGAAGTCATGGACATGGGAAAACAAGGGGTCTGATCAAAGAAGACAGTACTATCATGATCATCTTAGCGGAGGACATACAAGGAATGCACGAGACCACCTCCAAGCATGCTCCTACGGAGACACAGGACCTGTCAAGGTCAAGGGAGCAGCTACATCAACTTCACAGAGAGCATTGGATGAGAATCGAAGACCTCGTCATGTCAAGCCTATGACTCTTTCTCAGGGGACCCTCAAGGTACGGAACCAGGCCTCGGACCGGTCGAAGAATCATATCGCAGATAAGAAGCGTAGAGTACCGGTAGTGGTAGTTCCTAGGACCAGGCAGTCCCTATATTAGGGACCGAGGAAGAGGAAGAAGGGCCGCACGCATTGGCAGGACAGGGAAAGGAGAACGAGGTGTACGGTCTCTGTGAGACTGGATTGCTTGAAGTAAACAAGCTTGACCATCTATACCAATCTCTTATCACCTCCGTTTGTTCTCTGTATCCTGATATCATTCCTGCGCGGCCACCATTCGTGATACCTATTACCACTGCTACAGAAACTTGCAGTCGGTGCTATCACTGTCTACTTCGGGTGTCACTGCTACTGTGACTGTGTCACCGTCTGTGGAGAGAAGGTTACTGGGAACTTCAACACCTGAGAGAAGGCATTCATATTCAGTTGCAAAGCGACACCGAGGGATAAACTAGTTTTAGAGTCATCTTACTCGAATCGTTGTTAAATAGAAGCGTTTTGCAATACGAATGTCATCAACCAATGGAATCTTAACGGTTATAGGGAAGTCCTCGTGATACGGTTTTTATCCCTGAAAGCCTTAACAGCTGTGCACTACAGACACAAGATTCACGTGGGACACGAGCAGCAACAGCAGCATGGCACCAACCAGTACACCTCTATGCAAGGACGCGTTCGAGGAGTTCTTCGGACACTGTCCTCTGACGGCACCGGTCACCACCACCAGCAACCTCATGACAGAGTTTCACCTAAGCGAGAGCTCCGATTCGTGGATCGACGACTTTGAGAGCCTGGAGAGCGTGATCGAATGTGCAAATCACAAGACAAAAAAGATCAAAACCCTTGTTGGCGAAAGGAACAAGCATCCTATGTGCTCAAAATGCTGTGGATACATGTTTAGCAACAGCTTCAGTAAGGGCATCCTGTTCGCAACTATCCAGATGAGATGAAAATCTTGCGGGTTTGATCAGATATGCTAGAAATGTAAATATGTTCATGGTTTTCAATTGCAATGTATATAATGAAAAATGATTTGATCAAGAACAAGGAAAGTTGCAAAAAGATGTGCCAGCCTTCCGACCATTCACACAGTCATCTGTCTCATCCCGGCTCCATGGAACGCGAGCTTTGATGTGATACCTCTCGTTCAAATGATGATCCAGAAGCTACACAAGGAAAAAGAAAATAGGAAATAGTTGTATTCCAGCCTATTTGATTCCAGCTCGATTCCTCACTCTCAAGTCAGTCAATTAATCGGCCGCGTACAGGCTGCACATCTCAGACACCGCCCTGAAAGATCTTGGACCAAAGAGTGAAACTGATCATCGGATCAAGACATTGTTTCTTTTCCAAAATGACATCTTCCAGCATGGGATGTTACCTACACCGCCACTCTTCCACCGGATTAATTCTGGCACTGAACTTCGAATCCGCAAACCGCAGCAAGCAGCCGCTGGGGATGTTGTCCCCATGCTGGCTGCTTTCTTGGACACTCACAGGCACTTGATGGAGCAGAAAATCTCGGCGTACACGCTTCTCTACTCCACTTCGAGTACCAGGCCACCTGGTTCATGAACTTCTGTCTCAGTTTACTCCTCATCGCACGATCTGGCACTCAATTATGGGAAGTACAAACCTTGGGATCTTTGAGCAGCAGCCCATCAGCTTGGTGACTGCCGCTGACAAGTTTCTTTATGGATTGCCGGTTGACCACCCGCCGCACTGCGAAAAATGCCACCATCTTCTCTGTCATCCTGGGGGACCACACACATGGCAACCTGCAGGAACCGCAGCCCGTTATGGACTAATGCGCATGACAAGTGCAATGCCGTCCTCAGTACCCTCATCAAAGATTCAGGAGTGTGATGCCGCTTCCATGTGCGAGGCGTTTCCGGCACCAGGCTTGACGTTTCCCAAACATGGCCCTGAAGATCATCGCGTAGGGGATTTTGAGCTTCCGCAATTGCAGGCTACTGGAGGCCGATAGCATGGGTTTATCCTGGACTTCAGCATGTCACATGTATGTCGCATATTTTTGACAATGATGGGATACCGGACAAGGCTCGGAGCAAACTGCATGCAGCAGCACAGAGGAAGATCCGAGGGCATCGTAATGCATATGCTCAGCACGTCCCACCAAAGGCCTTTCTTCTCATCATCGCCAGCACTGATGGACTCTTGCAGGATGATGCGTTGCATTTTCTGTGGTGAATGGCGGATCGCTCGGCGAACAAGGAAAAGAGATGGATGGTCTCTCGGCCTCGCAAGACTCTCAGGTGATCCGAGGCTTGCAAACGCATCCGGTCCAGGATCTTTCGTCAGCCCAAGGCCTCCCTGTCCTTCGCTGCCATCATCGCGGGTGCATTCCGGTATGCGGCTCATTCCTTCGGCGGCCGCCACAGCGACGCAGGCATGGCGCGGGGGAAGGTATCAGTCAAGTAAGTGGGCAGGACCCGGTGACCGTCCGATAAAGCACCGTGCCGGGCCGCCAGAATGATTCCGAGTTCCGAGTCACTGAGTTATCCGTCTACCGTCCCTCAACCTTGTAAGCCCCTGAGAGTCTCAGCGGCTTTACTCAAGGTTAAGTTAAAACAGGATCAGAGTAGCAGATGTTTAACTTAACTTTGAGTAAAGAAAGCAGCAGCGGCGCAAACTTAACTTTGATGAGTAAAAATGTCGGCAGTGCGCCGTGCCACACCTCCTGCCGGGCAGTCACGCCGGTAATGCCCTCCCTGCTTGAGTAAAAAGTTAACTAGGCACCCCGGAGTCACCAGCCGGATCGAGGGGTGGGGGGCCAGTTTTTAATAATATGTTTTATTCCAGAAGATGCAAATTGGAAATGTTTGAGATTGGATGCAAAGATACGTAGCTCGAATGACATTTTGTTGCTAGCACTCAGTGCTATTGGTGTCCTAGGCTGCTACGGACAGGTAATGGTTACCAATTTTCCCTCTTTACTTAGCAGTTTTATCCAAAAGAGCTGATTTAGATGTCTTTTTTGTTTTATACTAAAATGGGTTTTCAACTATGGATCAGCTGACCACTGCCGGCATTACGCTGGCAGGATGACATCGAGTTGGAGGGTGGGGTGCAGAAAGTACCCGTACCTTTCTATTCACTTTCTCATTATATGACCCGGTTATTTCCATAGTCTGACCGGTATATACTACCTTATATGAGGACAAGCATATTTGGGTGGTGGTCGGTTCAAGACTGGGTAGTCCTTTGAGGGGGTGGAGATGACTATCCTTAAGGTCCTCGTGCTCCTCGGAGTAAGGGATGTAAGCCTCAGAAAGAACGGGCAATATTTACTAGGGCCAAGTAGTTCAATCTTATAATAGAAGCAATAATAAATATTCGCATACCATTAGGCATATCCAGACATAACTTGCCAGTGAAACCAATTGCGGGGTTGGGTATCGTCAAGAGCAAGAGATAGTACTATGAGGGGTGGTCAGAACAGATAAAGGACAATATGGGGGTGGGGGTGATATTGGTACCCACCCCTCTTCACGAGTCCTGGAGATTGCAGTCCCACGGCGTGTGGTCCGGCGATGGTCGAGGGCGAGCGGGAGCAAGGGATAGCGAAAGCTGCGGACGGGGGAGGTATCAGCAGCCTTCAGATGTTCAATGCATCCATATCCACACCCATCATGTGGGTAAGTCCTACGTGCGCTCCTCCCAAGCATGGCTTGCGTAGAGGGTGTGTTCGAAGATCCATTCAAGGGGATGCGAAGGAGGAAGGATCAAGAGAAGGGAAGAGACCAAGGATTGAGCCCAGAAGGGTTTCTTTCTCTTTCTTATCTATCACAAGAAACTACATGAGAACAGATGTTCACACAACGCATAAGGACACGGGTCCAACAGAGAACGAGGGATGGCAAGATATCCAGTGTATACGTAAGATCGAGTCAGAGATTGAAGAGGATGTGGTTTGTACGTATGACAGGCTAAGTGAGACTAAGCAGAAGGATGGACCCTCTATCACAAGTTTGATTGTCAACAATCTTGTCAAGGGGGTCGTGGAAAGGAAGGTTCTTGAAACGAAGAAAGTGTTAGAATGTATCCAGGACACAGCGATCAGAGCAAAAGAAATGTACGATCCTCGACCTGATCAAGATAAAGCACCCTTCGACAGAGATAACGATCCATGCTGGGATGTCTCGGACAAGACTGGGAGCAGCTCGGACAGATACGTATCTTGTGCCCTTCTACAAAGCCTTGCCTCGAGGATGCGGGAGATGATTGAAGCAATCCAGACACAAGGCAAGGTTGGGCTACTCCCTTCTCAGGCTCGGCTGGACAAATCTTTTGTTGCTCCACTTCAGTTTCTGATCATGCATCTTGAGACCGTGCTGTCCGCGGGAGGGGGCAACCACCAGGAGATGCAAGCTCTATGCCCTCCCCACATATCACTGCACAACAACTCAAACATTCTCAATTGCTAGACTATCCCCGTGTGGCCTTATTTTTTCGTTTTTCCGTCGTTTGACGATTCTCATGAGATACTTTTCCTTAGTGTATTCTTTTTCCTTGCCCCATTACCTTATCCAAGAAGGCAATTTGCTTCTTGCATCAGAGCATGTATTCCTATGTTGTAAGCCTTTGTATCAGATTCGCAGCAAATAAATCGTTTATGCAGTTGTGGTAATGTCTAGATGTGCGAATGATCTCAGCTTTGGGCTGTTGACAGGGGAATTTGGCAAAGGCATCGGTAAGGGAAGGACCATCGGTATCGCGAACACATGGGTTCATTCCTCAAAGACTTCAACTAAGGTTATTTTCCATTTACAATGCAGAGATTTTGCAGCAAGTAGAGTCATGACAATCACCAAGTAAGAGCACCAGTTTCCGCTGTCCAACACGCATCTGCAGCCACTCTTTTTTCCTCTAGCAGTTCTTTGCGATGGTCGCCTTGAGCTGGATCACGTGTTTCAGTAAACACGCCAGTAAGCAAGCATGGCATGCTAACACCTGCTTCACCATTGACTCCATCGAAGGGCCGGCAAGCTCCAGCTGTCTCTCAAACTTCTCATTCCTCGCGCAAGCCTCAGCAGGTGCCTGGGTTGGACCGAAGATCAGCCACGTGGTGCTTGCGCTGCACGGGGAGAACAGGAGCACTGGGTGACAATCAATGACATGGCATGCAAGGGAATCACGCCATATTGGTGATATCGTTGAAGTCTGCTCCTTACCTTGAGCTGACTCATCAACAACGCCTCAAACATGTTGCTTGCCCTGTCTGTTTCTATTTCCGATGTTTGGAGTGGCCTTGTAAATTATCCCTAGCTCATCGAATAATTGGAAAGAGCTCCAGCTAATTTAGTAACTGGCCTAAAACATGAGGCCGATGGTGAAGACCTTGGCCGCATCTTGGCGACGGTGCGGCGCGACAGGTAGGCGATGCAGAGCGTGTGTGTGCGCGAGTGGACGAAGCAAACGAATGTAGAGGAGAGCAGAAGCATGCATGCGGAGTGGCGGTAGGGAGATAGGGATGAAGGGACAGGGAGGCGGAGGAAAACGTGGGGACGGGGAGAGAGCGAGACGGTAAGAGAGAAGGGAGAGAGACACGGGGAGGCGTGCGAGTGACCAACAAGGTGGGGGACGGGGAAAATTGGAGGGGCGGAAGGAAGAAATCGAAGAGCTGAAAGGTGTCCACGGAGAGGGATTGGGAGCAGCTGTCATGGGTCTTGTTGTATGTGGATACGGGTAGGGGTAGAGGGATGGAGAGGTACGGGGAGGACGAGAAGAGGAAAGGGCAATGGGTACATGGCAGGTGATTAAGAGCGAGAGGATATGAAATAGTTGACGGGGTATCCAATCCACAAAGACACGTAAACAGGTCACAAAAGACTAGAAATGTTGAACGGGGTGAGTGTTGTCGGCATGTTAGTAGCCGATCTGCATGGTCGGCTTACAATCTTTGAGTCTATCCTCATGAGCAGTTTGACATCTTTACTTGGAGTCTGATTGTACTCCTCCAGCTCTTCTTCTTGTTGCCGCGATGGGGCATGCGGATTCTTCCATGGTCCCCACATGCACTCTAAGCGTACCCGTGGTGTCATGGCGCAGGAGAGCGTTTGGCACCTCCCCCATCATGCCTCGTCTGAGGGGAGGGAGGAGCGAGAACTCTATCCTACTGGACATTCGCAGCACGGTGCTGTCGCAGACAGAAGAGCTGGAGGAGCTCGTCAGGTTCTGGAAGACAGGAGGAGGGGGCTGCCATCGGTGACGAGTGTCGCAGCGTCAATGCTACTGCTGTGGAGGCACTGGCGAAAGACATCGAGACATGGAGGGTTAAGAAATCGTTCAAAGTTCGATTCGGTCTTCCACTCGTATTCGACGATGTCAAACAGGTTGTTTTCTTTTTTCCTTCCCTTCCCTTCGCTTCGCTTCGCTTCCCTTCCCCCCCCCTTAAACCTTCTCCTGTTCCCCCCCTCCCCCCCCCCACCCTTTCTCCCATGTCTACCCCACCCCAGTCATCTGTTCTTCAGTGGTCGCAATCTATTCATCCCACCCTTCTCCTTCTCATTTCCCTCCTCCCAGGTCGATTTGTCAGCTCATCCTCCTTTTCATCAACCCCCAATCCTCGATGTTGACCTCAGTCTTTCCTTGCATAGTTGTTTGCTGTCATTTCGTTGTTTCACTTGAAGGTGATGCATACTCTAACTCAAGGCTCCCGCAGGAAATCAACTTCTATGCTCTGCTTGCAACTCTTTCTTTTGGTTCAGGATGGCAAGAGGTCGGTCTTCTGTGCAGTCCTGGTTCCCAATCTTTGCCGCTCCCATCCTTGCTTCTCTCTGTTGTTTTGTCCTCATTCTTTCTTTTCAATCTTTCTAGCTCATTGTGCAAACCGAGATCTAACACATGTTTTGATTGCTTACACCAGGGAGTGTGGAGCAAAGCTCCAACAAAGGGCGTTCCAACCCGAGACTCAGTTCTAAACATGTTGATATCCTTGCACATGGACAGCAAAAACCTCGATGCTGCGGGACTTGCAGAAGTTTCTCTGTTTGCACTTAGCCAGGTTCCTTTGCTACTTTTGAAAGTCTGTATGTGTTTCGGAGCATCTGTTGTGTATTTGTCGATGTAAGTAGTTTCTTGCTCTTTGTCTCAAGGACCATCGAAGGATCATGTCGTTTCGTGCCTGTCATGTATGACGGCTCTACTTGATCATTGTGCTTTTGCATCCAATTTTGCCTTGCATTTTTCTCTCTCTACATTTGTTGCACTCATCTCCCAACTTATTGCATTATTTTGCAGGCTCTTGATATCCCACTGACAAAAGAGAAAAGACTAGATGGAGGGCCAATACGGCAGGTCACAACCACTTTCTGTATCCCAGACTCTCTGCTTGTCCCAATCACATCAACAGAAAACATGAAATTCCCTTTGCATCGTGTGCCTTCTGTGTAAATGATTGCACTAAATTGTTGTCCCTCAGGATGTTCCGTCGGATTACCGGTGGCTGGTTGACAAATATTACTCAGTTCTCAGCTCGCTGTCGAGGTTTTAAGCTCGTCGTTGTCAGTCAAAGATCTCATCTTGTGCAGTGACTTGACGTCGAGGGGATTCAAAGACCTCGCAGATTTCATTCTCTCTTCAAGAATGCATGTGAGCTCAATGCTCCTGATGTACTGCAAGAATCTTGATGTTGTTGCTGTTTGGGATAGAAGTGCCTTGTCTTCGTCTCTTGCCTGCTTCATTCTATTGGTCTGTGTTGCATTTCTGCTGAGTTATCGAGAGTGTACCATGCGATCAATATGTTTCGATGTGGAACTCCTGGGCGTTCATAGCATCTTTGTCGACATACTATTGTTGCTGTTCTTATGACCGAATTCGTGTTGTCTATCCATATTCCTCAAAACTTGCTTGCCTGCTCCATCCCCTCTTCCTCCTACTCTTCCTCTTCCGAGAGTGGGAAGAAGAAAGATTCTTCCCACTCTCTCCCCACTCCCTTTTCCCCATCCGCTGAGCAACATGCAGGGGCATGTCAGGGTGGATGAATCTGATGTCAACTTCAGCGCCTCCCTACTAGGTCGATCTCTTCCCTCCCTCCTCCTCCCTGCTGACTCCAATGCAGTCGAGAGGCTCGTCAAGTGTTTTGAGACGTTTCAGGATGTGGCGAACGTCGGACAGGTCTCAGCGGCTCTAGAGCCAACGAGCTGTGACGTCTCCACCTCAGAGTTCAGTTCCTCTCCACCGTAAAGCCCAGCTGGTATGCGAAGACCTGGTCGCTAGGTTCGCTGCACGGTGATTCTTCTCAGCTCGGAGTTTGGCACATAGCGCCTGACATTTGAATTGCAGAGAGCACAGGTTGAATTTCACGGACATGGAGGACTTGACATTAGGGAGTGACGCCGAAACTGTGCGTCTCTCGAGAGCCTCTGACAGCTCTCACTGATCGGGACCCTTCAGGTCACGTGGCTCCGCAAACTCTCCCTCATTGAGGTCAGCCCAGCGCTTGCTAAGAAGATCGATAGCGACAAGGTGAGAATGCTTGGCTGCTGACGTGTCAAGCAATCGGTTCTGCGGTTTTTGTGTCGTTTCATGCATCGTAATGAAGTTAAGGAAGATGATGCAGACATTGAAGACGAGGAATATGGTGCAGAAGACTCAGATGACGTAGAAAGATGTGCGAGGTGTAAAAAGATGCAGAATGTCAAGAGCGTAAAGGAAACAGAGATGCTGGAGATGATGATGTTTTCTCATCATCCTGACATGTCGATTGATCTACACAGGAGATTGAGGCGGGGTCACGCGAAGAGGCCGCATTGCGAGTCGCAGGGGTGAGTAGCATTTCTCTGCTGTTGGATCTTAGAGTGCGTTTCATTCGTCTTTTTCGTCATCCTTTCACTTGATCATGGAGGATGAATTCTTCATGTTGTTTCTGGCCTTGGTTTCTGCTATGTTCGTTTTCTTGTTTTCTTTGTTGAAGCATGTTGTATAGGCTCCTCAATTTTTTTTGTTATAAATAAGTGCTGAAGGCAGATGTTTGTTACAGGTCAAGGCGTGCATGAAGCTAGCAGAAGAAATCAACAAAATCAACCCCGAGGTTAGTGTTTTTATGGTCAACTTGTCTTTGTTTGTCCTGTATTCGGGTTGCTCTCTTGGACGTTTGATCACGAGAATGTTCTCCTCGTGTGCAGATTTGATCTCTTTACATGATAGATTTGCAGGACACAGTAAGCAATGTCGAAGTTTGGAGGTACATTAGCATGCAAGTCAAAGACCTCTACTTCAAACAGGTTGCAAGAGAACTTCTTTTGCGTGTTCAACCGCTTACCTGACCCAGGTCAAGGCTAAGGAGGTACGGCAAGAAGCAAACAACAAATTTGGTCAAGGTATTACACTGCGTTATTGAAGTGCTCATATGTTATTGAAGTGCTCGTGTGTTTTATCTAACTGCCCATGTGTTTTTAAGACGCAGGAGAGGAAGAAGAAGAAAAGATCTATGTTATAGGGGAGGGCGACGATAAGAAGATGTTTCGGTGTAAGAACACGCAGCACTACTGAATTCAAGGAGACATTGACAAATGAACTAGTGAAGATTTCTCGCAATACAATCGCATTCACTTTATTCACTCACTTTAAATCTCTCAATCGTTGGTGTTGTCACTGCTTGGATGTCATCAGCTAGTCTTACCCGCTACCCTCGCCTTCCTCGCGGCCTCCACGATGTTTCCCAGCAGCAGTCCTCCCCCTCCTTCAACGAGCACCGCTCTCCTCTGCCCCTCCTTGGCGTTCTTGAGCTTGAGGCTGCCTTTGACCGTGATGACAGCCTGCACAGTCTTGGGTGGATGAGGGCTCCAGGAGGAAGGGACGTCTCTGCCATGGAAGAAGAGCTCTAGCTCAAGGGAGCCTGACAGGTCGTCTGCTCGGTTGTCGTCATCGAGGATGTACTCGTCAGACTGCACCATCCTTGTCTTCGGTCAGCGAGCAGAGCTCAGCGGAAGGGGGAGTGAGAAGGAAGGTGGAGGGAGATGAAGTGAGAAGGGCAGAGAGATCGCACAAGTTGTTCTCTTGCCGTGTCATCGTCTACGTGGGTCATCATTGATTCGTTGAAGGCTCACTACTACCCCCACCAGCCTTCTACCCCAGGTCTACTATATCAAACTACCGGTGGTTTCGGAGAAGATCCCATGTCAGGTGGTACATTTCCTGCAGGGACCTTTTATAGTCACCTTGCGTACCTTTGAGATCGAAATCTCCTGCAAGCTCTTCATGAAAGAAAGTGAAGTCGAAAATCGTGAGATGTTGTAATCCGAACATCAACATCAGATGATACTAGATGCCCATCACATCTATCACTGCTTCTGTGCTTGTTGCGCCTGAATGAAGTGTAGAAAACATCTGACACGAGGCTCTGATTCTGTTGGTTGATGTGTCAACCGGGTAAGACAGATTCGAAGAGAAAGTTGGAAGAACAACACAAGATGGGCAAGGCGAATACGGGAACAACGTAGATGACAGAAATGAACTAGTGAAGATTCCTCGCAATACATTTGCAACTGCAATTCTTTGACTTGAAGTTTCTGAGTCATTGCTGTTGTCACTTCTTAGATATCATCGACCCTTGTGTCGGATCGCAAGCGCCTTCTGTAGGCCTGGGAGGAAGCGAGAGTGGGGAGGGAGGAGAGATGAGAGGACCGGCAGAATAATACCTTGGGCAGAAAGGTGCCACGATCGCAGCAGCATCGCTACCTTGAAGGTCATCCGGTCTTTCACTGCAATTATCGAGTTCTCTCGTGCTATCGGCCTCATCCTTGTTCTCTTCCGCTTCTTCTCCCATCTCATCTTCCTCCTCCTCTGTCGTCGTCCACTACTTGTCTGGCTTCTCTCCTCCTCAACAACTCTTGATTCCTCTTCCCCATTCACCTTCTCACTTTTCCTGCTTCTATACAATACTCGCTGATCGCCAAGTTTGAACTCATGGAGAAGCAGAATGTTGGACCGGTGGCGAAAGGGAGCGTCCAATCCTCTTACCCCTTTAGCTCTTTCTATAGCACCAGCTAGAAAGCTCACTATTTGGGCCAAAAAGCCTCTCACCCTTCCACCCTCCCTCCTCCTCTTCCCCGTCTCTCCTCTTGTGTCCCTCCTCTCTTTTCCCGCTGCTTTGCTCTTACAAATCTACTATTGTTTTAGAGCTGAGCGAACAACACTTACAAGTTAACAAGCTGCCCCATCATCACAACAGATTAGGAGAGGATATAGGCAGGGGAACGAAAGGGTTTAGGGTTTATGACATGTCTAAACAATCTGTCGCCCTACACTTCAGGTACATTCAAGAGTGAGAGGTGGAGCGGGATAACAAGGAAGGAGTGGAAAGAAAGGAAGGAGGAGGAGGATGATCAGTACACTTCCTCGTCAACTTTTGCTCCTAGTATTTCTGCCCTACCTCAGTCTTCTGCTCCTTGTTTTCCTCCTTAGACACCTTGAGCTGCTCGCCCTTGTGTTTCTCCTGCCCTCCTGCCTGATTCTTTGCCGATTTCTGCGCCAGGAGAGTGCTTAGGGTAGGCGGGGGGAGGAGGATAGAAGTAGAGGCGAGACGACAAGAAAAGGAAAAGGATAAGAACATAACAGGAGCGATAGGAGAAGAGGAGAGCGAAGAAAGATGATGGAGGAGGCACAAGGCAGGAGGGTGCGGGCGGAAGGGAGGAGGAATGGGTGTGAGAGAGAAGCTAGAGGGCAAGTTACTTGTACTTGGCCTACATCGCTAGCTGCGTGGCCGGTCATATGCCCTCCCTGCCTCATCAAGGAACGGGAGAAGAGGAAAGGAGTGGAGAACGAGGATCAGGTTTTTGAGATCGAAATTTCCCCTGTCATGTTGCCCGAGACTGAGCCTTGTGTTAGAATCAAGCATACAGGAGGGTCAGCTCTCTATCTCCAATGTGTTCTTCAAGCCACGTTCGTTCCTGTTGAATTACATTCAGTATCCTTGTCATGTAGATTTAAACTGGTCTGCTTTTCGTTGACCAAATTTACAAAATTGTACTGACAAATTTTGTACCCGTTCTCTCTATCTTTTCTCCCTTTTCCTTTGTTGGATCTGAAAATGGAATGAAGGTTTGCATGTATCGGCACTTGGCACGATGCATCGAAACTAGGCATAATACGCTTTTGAGATCCTTGAGCAGTGAGCACGTTTGTTCGTGAGGAAGAGAGAGGGGGAGTTGCCGGGGATTGTAAGTCAGCCTTTGGTTGTTTCGTTTTGCTCCATCTTTACAGATACGAAGATATCAACAATGGGAGGAGGAGCTCGTCTTGAAGAGAGGGGGGCGGAAAATCGTTTTGTGTTGCAATTCAGACATCCACCTTCGACGAGAATCTCATTCATCTGCAAACGCATTATCACATCGCAAACGTCTGGCTTTTGAGCGATGTCTCTATACGATAGCAGCAGGTATCTGCATGACAGGCAACTTATCAGCTCAACAAGCATTTGAATCTGTTTTCTATCCGCGTACGGAGTGATGACGTTGTGGGGAACAGGTTGAGACCAGCCAGTTTGAGGACTGTCATGAAAAGCTACCTGCTCCACTTCCTGTGTGAATCAACACTTGAGCTGTTACACCATGGGCCGTTGTATGCGAACACCTCATACCATGGCACTTGTCCCCATCCCTAAGTCCCCGGGGATGGAAGTGAGCTCAGGTCATGTTGTCAGTGTCCCTGCTGACTAACATAAGCTTGTGTTGCCTGGCACTGCCATCAGTGAAAACCGAGGAACATGGCTGTGTTGCTTGTACATGTCTTCATCTCAGATACATGAGCTCTGATAGCACAATAGTCGATCTTTTATGATAAATCGGCATCAACTTTGTACTTGAACTTTTGTCTACGTCTCCCTAGCTCAAACATGCAGGCATCACCACATATTTCAATCAGCCGGTAGTACCTCCTCCACATGATCCGCAAGCCATCCGCTCGCCTCAAAGCTCCGCCCTGCTACCCTCGCCTTCCTCGCGGCCTCCACGATGTTTCCCAGCAGCAGTCCTCCCCCTCCTTCAACGAGCACCGCTCTCCTCTGCCCCTCCTTGGCGTTCTTGAGCTTGAGGCTGCCTTTGACCGTGATGACAGCCTGCACAGTCTTGGGTGGATGAGGGCTCCAGGAGGAAGGGACGTCTCTGCCATGGAAGAAGAGATCTTGCCTGAGGGAGTGCATGGGAGCGTCGTTCTTTCCGTGGACTACGTCCATCTCACAACATGATGAATCTTCCAGGTCTAGTCTCGGTCCTGCACCCGCACCTGCTCTGCTGGCGAAACAGAGAGTCGGATCCCTTGACGTGATCGAGAGTGCGAGGAAGAGGACTTGGGAAGAGGAAACGAGTTGGGGAAGGGGGATACGGGGAACAAAAAGTGATGGCAGGCAAACAGCGGAAAGGAGATATTATTCTCCGGATATGAAACGTTGGGGTTTGAGATTCGACTCGCTGTGGGATAGAGTTCGGCATGTTGCAGGAACCTTACAGGAATAATTTACTACAGAACGGAAGACAAATCTGACAGGCACTTTGTCATCGGATCCTCCGGTCTACTAGAGACGATGTTCGATGTGCGGAAACGTTATGTTGTCATCAAAGGTGAAATGACGCCAGCATGTGCGAGCGATTGGCGAATACAAGTGTTAACATGGACCATCGGAAGTTATGTCAGATCTCATTTCAAAGGCAATATAGTGATACTCCAAGCTGCGATGAATGCAGAATAGAAGGGTTCATACCAAGTTGGTGATTTCAAAAAAACCTGGGACAGCGAGCCCGGGACACTGTGAACAATCCCAGAGTGATCTTCTTCACCCGTTGTGCGTGCATTTCAGGGTAGTGCTGCAAAGGATACATAGGACGGTATGAGACCATATATAGGAGATGCAGTTCCACTCAGTATTTTTTAACCGATCGCCTCGGGGTCTCGTATATGAAAACAAACAGGTCTAATGTTACACGCACTGAATCCGTGCTTTCTACCAAACGGTAGCCCTTTCTAGAAAATCGTTTGCCTTATCCTCCCCCAAACCTTACTGAAAGTCGACTGTGCCAACTTGGTGCTTCATCCCAGTTTGATGAATCCGACGTCTATTGCTCTCCTCCCTTCTACTTCTGCTCTCCTCCCTTGTCCGATAGAACCTTTTCCACATGATCCGCAAGCCATCCGCTCGACTCAAAGCTCCGCCCTGCCACCCTCGCCTTCCTCGCCGCCTCCACGATGTTTCCCAGCAGCAGTCCTCCCCCTCCTTCAACGAGCACCGCTCTCCTCTGCCCCTCCTTGGCGTTCTTGAGCTTGAGGCTGCCTTTGACCGTGATGACAGCCTGCACAGTCTTGGGTGGATGAGGGCTCCAGGAGGAAGGGACGTCTCTGCCATGGAAGAAGAGATCTTGCCTAAGGGAGCCAGCCAGCTCGTCGGGTTTGTTGTTCTCGCAACCCATGCACTGTTTGCTCTGACTTGAAGTGGGCTTCTTTCTTTTGAGATTGTCCCTGCTAGACAACGCGAGTTTATTGCTGTTTGGTTTGTCGTAGAGTGCGTGGAAAGCGCCTGTTTCTCTTGCCTCGCCTGCCTGTGCAGCGCGATTTGTCTTTTTCTCGTGCGGAAATCGGGACCGTACGAGTTTCCAGAGATACGAAAAGACTTCTTTTCCATTCTTCCAGATTTATCCAGGCGCGCATGTCCATGACCTGCGTCGCCTGGTCTTGGCTAGTCTTTCCACCCGACCCCTCAACTTCTCCCTTCAAAAACAGATAAAAGTACCCGTACCCGAAATATTTCCGAGGCGCTGCGATTTGCAAGCAATGTTCAGTAAAAACAAAAGGACACTGACTTCATAGACTTTTACTGAAGATTAAGTTAAGAATCAGTACGAGGATCTTCCATAGACACGTTGTGCGGCCCCCCACGTCACGGTCCCGTTAATCTCAGTCACGGCCACGTCGGGAGCCCTCGCCGACTCGCTCCACAGGCACCCGTCAACCCCCGGCGGCCTGGCCCGATCATAAAATAATGGGCCCGGCCCGCACTACCGCCGGTGGCCGGGCAGGGCTCTGATCTCCGTCTTTACTGAAAAGCCTGGCCGGGTGTTGGGGTGTTGAGCCTGCTGCTTTGGGGATGCCAGAGCGTAGGAGCGCCGTCCTCCTCCCTCTCCTCCTCCTCCTCTCCTCCTCTGGTTATGCCTCACAGTTTGCAGCTGACTGCGAGGGTGTCAGACGAACAGGTGGGAGCCAGGAGGACGTCCTCGAATGCTTGAGGCGGAGAACAAGGCAGCTGCCGAAAGATCCTTCCGCATGGCTTACCCTTGGGCTGCAACTTCATTCCGTCAACGACGTGGATGAGGCTGTCAATGCATATCAGAAAGTCGTTGAGCTGAGCCCGACATCAGATCTCGCTGCTACTGCGCATCTTCACCTCGGAGTCATTCTCCATGGTCGGGGGGAGCATACTGACGCCTTGACACAGTACCAGCGCTCTCTAGCTCTCAGCCCGAGCTCGCCCAACACTCTGCTGAACATGGCGATCATCCAGTACATGCAGGGTATGACTGCCGAGGCCATGCAGAGCTGCAAGGGGGCAATCGACATCAGCCCGGAGTATTTTGCTGCGCATGCGCAGCTCGCGATTATGCAGCAGCAGGTCGGCGACATAGACGAGGCCGTGGACAGCTACCGCACGTCAGTCCGGCTCAAGCCAGACTATGCTCCCTCCTATTTCAACCTAGGTACCGCGTTGGAGCGAACTGGCGACCTTACACAAGCGGTAGAGGCATATCAGCAGGCGGTCGCAATTGAAGGGGAGGGCGTTCCGAATCCCAGGTTCCACGGGCGTCTTGCAGCAGCTCTGGTAGAGCTGGGGCACTGGGAGAGGGGTATGGTGTTTCACTTCGATGGCTCCCGGCACTGTGAGCCGATGGGAACTCACTGCAAGCACGAGCATCACAGCCTGGGCTTTGCCGGGGGGGTGGACCCCTCCTTGTTCTTCAACGTTGGGATGGTCTATCTTGATACCTTCATGCACCTCAAGCAGGAATTGTTCTACCTTGACCAGGCGTCTCGTGTGCTGGCTCATGCGTCTCGAGTCGGAGGGGGAGAAGAGAACATTTACGACTCTGCCGTCTATGCGCTTGGTATGGTTCACGAGTTGTCAGGGAGGCGGCAAGCAGCGACGAGACTGTACAAGCAAGCTCTTACTGCTAAGCCTGACAGTGCTGTCTACTTGCACGCACTGCAGAGAGCAAGGAGGGTGACTGCGGAGACGGGAACGAAGCCGACTGCTGAGGCGGAGGCTGAGGACAAAAAGAAAGTGCCCCTAGGGCACTTTGTGCTGGGCGACTCCTTGTACCCCAGGGCCGCCGGGTCAGCAGCGAGCATCGATCGGTATGGCTGCAATTCGACGATGATGAAACCACATGAGCTCCTCCAGCATATCTCCAGCTCGACCGACGCGCAGCTGAGCGAGCTCTTGATCGTGGTAAACCCTCTTCCTGCTCAGCGCAAGTCCTACCCGGCTGAGGACGCGGTGCCAGATCATGTTGACAATCTCTTGCAGCACTTGAACAGCACTGTTTTAATTCTATCTGACGTGCGGGAGCTCAGCGAAGCGTCGGGCTATTCTACATCCAAGAATCAAGAAAGATTGAAAACTTTGTTGCACCCAAACACAACAAATGCAGGTGCACTGGTTGAAGTTGTGCGAGAGGTAGAAATCAAGTACATCTGCTCTTGTACGTGTTCATGCTAAGTTCGTATGATCTCTTCTGGTTGTTGGGGTCTCTCGTCTGTCCCTTGACGTGTCCTGTTCTGCAAGGTCTTGCTATTGTGTCTGGCACTCACTTGTTTCGGTGTGAAATGGCATCAATGGAACGACGCCGCATCTTAGTTTTGGATTGGTCTGACTAGTTCTTTACAGATCGCAAAAGGGCAGATTGCTCCCTTCTCCACTATTGACTTTGTTATGTTCGACAACATCACAAACGGCTGCGAACATGCATTCGAGTTCCTACACTCGGCAGGAATCGATCCCTTGACTGATGCCAAGATCGTCATGTTTCATGTAGGTTCCACGCAGAAGTTGTGTTTCGCTCGTATAGTGTTACATTTCTACTGCTGTGCTCTGTGGCTGTCTTGGTCCTTTTGTCATCTTTTCTGATGCCGTCTTTGCTCCCTTGCTTGTGTCCTCATCCAGTTTCCTCTTTCTTCTCTCCTCGCGCAGCATGCCGCCATTGCATACTTTGCCTTGCCTGCTGCTTGCACGTCTATCCTTTCTCGTCTTCCTCCTCTCACTCTACTCGCAGGTCAATCCGGCACTGCCCCCGCCAGTTCGAACGAGTCTCAACACGAGAGACAAGAGGGAGGGAGCATGGGGCTGCTCCCTCTCCCACGCCACCCACCTCATGTCTCAGCTGGGCAGAGTACTGGTGCAGCTGGACTACACCGAGGCTCTCTTCATCAAGCGGGAGTTTGCGGGCAGCCTGCAGGTCTTCTTGAAGCGGCGTCCCCTCGTCTTTCCTTCCCTTGCCTGCTCTGCTCTGCTCTGCTCTGCTCTGCTCTGCTCTGCTCTGCTCTGCTCTGCTCTGCTCTGCTCTGCTCTGCTCTGCTCTGCTCTGCTCTGCTCTGCTCTGCTCTGCTCTGCTCTGCTCTGCTCTGCTCTGCTCTGCTCTGCTCTGCTCTGCTCTGCTCTGCTCTGCTCTGCTCTGCTCTGCTCTGCTCTGCTCTGCTCTGCTCTGCTCTGCTCTGCTCTGCTCTGCTCTGCTCTGCTCTGCTCTGCTCTGCTCTGCTCTGACACGTCTTGCCGCATACTCAGGCCCTGCCTGCAAATGACCTGACCGCCTATCAGCTGGGCTTTCTCCATCGGCCCGAGCGACTTCGATGTCTGGGGCTCTTTCGGGGGACAGTGAACCATGCAGGTGAAGACAAGAAAACTTGAGGAGGAGGAGGATGGAGGAGGAGACGGGGTGGGAGACAGCCACTTACTCTGATGAGCAGAAGGAGACGCATGGAGCAGACTGGCACCAGAAGCTGTAGAGGAAGTGTACAACGAGTATTGCAGGGACCCTTCAGGGTACACGAGGCGGGGGATGAAAACATTTCATTGATACAAGTAACAAGTCTGTGGTGAAAGGAACATAATGTACATGTGAAGAATAAAGAACGAGACTAGCTAACTTCGAGAAGCCAACATCCTCAATCTGCCTGTCTCAGAGCAGAAAACGACTCCGAGCTGGCACAGAATCGCGTTCATGTTCTCAACGCGTTGGCCTGCGTGCCTGATGCGCACGTGATAAGCGCCACTGATGAAGAAGACCAGAATGGCAGAGGAGAGGAGGAGAGTTGGGCAGGCCTTCTCCAGCCACTGCATCATCGAGCGCTGCTGCTGCCAGAGCAAGAGTTATGCTTTGTACAGAGAAGGGGAGGGTGGGGGAACCGATCGATCTGACGAGAAAAGGAAGTTCAATGTGGACCTTGAGCAGTAGAGGAGGGTAAGAAGAAGGAGGGCGAATATGCCTGAAGCAGGTCAGTCAGCCCCGTCGGTTATCATCAGCACCCTTGGCAATATCGCAAACATCGGAAAATAGGATCATGCTGAATGATTTGAATGCAACATAAGGGCTGGGAAGCATATGTCCGTGATTATGGCACGAAACACTGACATGCTTCACATAAAAGCACTAGTGAGAGCAATCAGATGATTATGAGGAGGAGGAGAAGGAGGGAGAGGACGAGGAGAAGGAGGAGAAGGCTGAGGAGGGAAGGGAGAAGGATGATGAGGAGAAGGGGAAGGACGAGGAGGATGAGGACGACGAGGAGGACGAGGAGGACGATGAGGAGGAGGGGAGGAGGGATACCTAGGTGGATCCTCCTGCTCCATGTTACGGTCTGGTGACTTTCTTTCAGCCACTCCTGAAATATCCTGATATCTTCCAGCGTCTCCTCCTTGCTCGCTCGCTGTCCCCCGCCCAGCATGTTCCCTCGCCCCCGCTCCATCGCCCTCAACCCGCCGCTGGTTTCGTTGTAACGGTCGCATAACGAGTCGAGGCCCTGCTGAGATAGATGAGTAAAAGGAAACAGAAAATGCATGCGTGCTGTGGGGGCAGAAGGTGGCGGGAGGGAGAGGGTCGACGGCATGCGGGCATGCGATGTTGGGATGTATGGGATGTATGAAAGGGAACGATGGAGCAGCGAGCGAGAGCATAATGATGACGAGACGAAGGAGAGGGAGAGCAGGGGGCAGACTAGCCATTGATCGCTTCCAGGGTCCTCAAGGCAGGACAACCCCCTCCAGTCCACACATCCTCGCAGCAAGGAGGAGAACCTTGTCTGGACCCCGATCCTCTTGCACTGACATGATCTGCTCCTCTCGCAGGCATGGCGTCACAGGACTCAGGGAGCAAGCCAGCAGAGTCGGTCCGGAGGTAACCAGGAACCGAACCATTGCGTCCGCTGACTCTCTCCTTCCCATAGGCTGACAAGCGTCAGGGGAACCCCAGACTTGGACGTTTCGGTGTGCCTCCTCCTCCGGATCAACATCCACCTGTCTCTGACATCTCTCCTCAGGGATCTGCTCCTAGCAGGAAACCCAAGTTTGCTCCCAAGATCCCCGTCCGCGCGGTACCTGCCTCACCCCTGCCATCGGGCGTGTCTGACTGCCAGTACAGCCTGTGATCAAGACTGAGCCGCAGGATACGCCGGCTGCTGCTAAGCAGAGCAGAGATGCGCAGACGGACAAGGGGGGATGGGGGAGGGGAGGGGAAGGGGAAGGGGGAAGCGAGGAGATGCAGCGAACAGGTTTGAGCATGCCTCCGACGTCCTCTGAGCTAACGATCATGCAGGGGAAGAGGGAGAGGGAGGGTGAGACTATATGACGGGAGGTGAGCAGGTTGAAACGTGTTGCCCTGCAGGGTCAGCCAGCAGGTCCCTCACAGCTGATTCATGTGAGGGAACGTGGGCACCAACCCAGAGCGCTAGCGCACCAGCGCGTTCATAAGAGGGGGGGATTTTTCCGTTGGGGGGGGGGGGGGGGGGCAGGAGGAGGAGGAGGAGCACCACCACCACCACCACCAGGAGAGATGAAAATTTTCCACTGACGATTGCGTACAGGAACGCGAATATCCTACTCTAACAACTCCTCGGCGTCAAAGGTTCTTACCGGCAGCATTGTGGGAATTGTGTTAAATGTCCTTGACAGAAATTGTCTTCGAAGTCAGCGAACCAGGTCTCGTGATGGTTCACAAGGAACTTGCTGTTGGTAGTGATGCCAATATGTTACAGGAGGGCTCTTGGGGTCCAGATGTCGATGCGGGTGAGTCTGAAATGTTCGAGTCCTATGATACGTGCGATGACTGTCAGCCACGATGTATGACAACCTGTGACATGAGATTCTGACGAGATTGTAGATGTTGACGGCCAGGAGATCAACGAAACTCACATGCCAACAACGCTTCCCTTCACTCCCCGCAGGCCCTGGGATCCGAGAGAGATCAAAGTGGCTTGTGTTTGTCTTGTCTTGTCTCGTGTGATGTTGGTGAAAAGGTCAGCGATGAAGACATGTCGGACGTGACTATGCTGAAGAAGCTGGTGATGTTGATGCCAGCTCTTTGCCGACACGTGTTGAAAGCTTACAGACCAAGTCGATATCTAGCGAGAAAGCAAAGGAGATTCTTGGAGATGAAAGTGAGTAACTCATATCAAGATAGTCTTATATCTTCCACGTCTTGCTTCCTTCCCTTTGCCCATGCCTCCCTCTTGTTGTACAGGTGTCCGTCTACCTGCTGACATCCTTTGTCATCTTGTCAGTGTACTCTATCCTTCTGCGGCGAGACAAGTGGGACAACGAATCGATCGGACTGACCAAGGAGCACGTCCAGCAGGTAGAGATGAGAAACGACAATGAAAGAAAGGAGTAGAGGAAATAGAGAGAGAGAGAGAGAGAGAGAGAGGAAACGACTGAGAGGCAAGGAAACAAGAGAAAGGGAGGAGAGATGTTTGGCATGCTTGTATGACACCTTTCTACCAGTTGATGTCAAGGAAATTTCTTGAAGACCCGCTTGCTCTTTCTGCTGTAAAATTCTATCATCCTTGCCTTTTTCCTACTCTG